ATATATATATATATATATATATATATATACACACACACACACACACACACACACACACATGTGTTTATATGTATAAATGATATACATATATACATATATATATAAATATATATATAGCTTTTTGCCTGTGCTCAGCTTTGTGAGTTTGCTTTTGCATGTAATTCACCAGTAACGACTTGTCACAGTCGAGACACAGTTTTCATCTATCAGAACATCTTGTCCATCTCTACATCTCGAAACGAGCCTTCACCCGAAGCAGGAAAGTTCATTAAACTTAGACCACCCTTAAAAAATTGTTTGTTTCCCCTTTACCTACGCGCCTCTCAGAGTACCGAGTAGGTAGGTAGGTGAAAAATCTTTTTTATTTTGTTTTGACAAGATGTGTGTATGTAGCTTGTATATTCTGTTTGTGTATATGTTTACGAAATAATTTTTTGTTTTGTTTTAATCAGCCAATAAAATGTGTCGAGTAGCGGCGTTTTGGCGAATCGGTCGGTGAGGGGAAACAAGCAATATTTTATCTTAGGCCTTACAGGATTTACGATGAAGAGGTTTTCTCGCAGCTGATTTCTGCACGTGTTGAACTTGTTGCGTCTGACATTTCGTCTCCACGTCGTGAACGCTTTCCACTTCCGAAACAGACGGAACGTCGGTATCTGGAATTTTCAAACATGGGAGATAACTACACTCACGTGTCACTCATCAACATACATTCTCATGCACGAAAATAAATTCACAACTATTACCACTAACATGCAGATGCACTTGCATAAATGAATGCAAGCTTATGCTCATACATACACACATACACTCACGCACAGGCCTACTCACTTACGCCACAAGTATGTATCAACTTACAAACATGTTTACACACTCACTCAGATACACGTTGGTGAACACGCACACACGCAGTCCACGCACGTACACACGCACACACGCACCATACACCGACACACGCGATATTTATAACAGCTTCACCTGTCACACTAAATGAAATGCACACCTTTACAAGTTTCTGGAAGTAGTGGAACTCATGTGTCCACCTCTCAAGAGAGGTAAACTCCGATTCATGATCCGTGATGTGCGTCACTCCGTGCGGGCTAATCGTGCGGTAGTTGCATTTGTTCACCTCTGCGTACCGCACCACCCTGGAGTTATAATTGTCATAATCGTTACCTAAGAAATCGATTTTCAACCTGCTATTCAGTACTGCTTCGTCGTTTTTGTACTCATTCACACTTGCTACTGAAATGTTAATATGATATTCATCTAAATAAATTGCAGGTATTCTATTGAAAGAAGAGGAAAGTTTAGCAATACATACTTGATGTTATATGAATGATATAGAACAGAGGACTTTGGCACAGCTGGTGATAGGTATAGAAATCCAAGTTCTGGATGTGACTTTAGCAGCTTCACAACCTCTAGTGGGTTTGTCATCCCGTACACGCTACTTGCTGTAACACAGGACAATTCACAGCAGGTGATATGCAGTAACAGTACTCAGCTGACACTGGCTGCTATATAACTGCATGCCTACTACCGACTCTTCTAATACTGTGCTATAGTAACCCCCGCTAGAGGACGCCAGTTTGTTTTGCTGCGATAAAACGGATGAATAGCAGGGGCTGTGACGTTTTTTGTCTAATTCTCATCAGGTTTAGCATAGTTCCAAAAGTTTAACTTGGGACGTTTTATACTAGATTAGGCCAAAAGTTCTTTTACCAGTAAATAGATACAACAACAGCACTTTGAGCCTAACACCTTTGTATTGACTATGTAATAGTCCTTTGCATTATCACAATCCATTAATTTTGTACTTAGATCAAACTTTTAGCCATGTGACTGATGCAGGTTACCATGATCTCAACCAATACCTTTAAGTGGAATGGGCTTCAGTGTCCTTACTAATGTAGAGGAAAGTGGAGACGACACATGGCTGCGTGAACTCGCTAGTTGAGCTTGCTTTACTTTCAGGGAGGCAGGCAGCTCTGGTAGCGTGGCTGCACCACGAGACTCGGCGGTTTTGAACGAAGCGGGCTCACAGATTCGTTTGATATCACACGATTCATCATCGAGATCATGTTGCCGTGTTTTTCCCTGTCGCATCGCCAACGATGGCTAAAACGAATGTGAATTCATGGATATATACACTGTACTAGAGGGGGATTCATATGTGTCTTGGTAGTAGCATGCCTGGCATGAACAAAATCGAGCCTGCACTCACATCTTTTGTAAAAAGCCACACAGCAAGACACTGTGTCACGTCTCGCAACAATTTGCCACATTACACTCCCTGGTCAACCCACACCACCTTGACACAATACAACACTGACACAAGACGCATATAACTTGTAGTAGTCTTTAGTCTGCTGGGAATGTAATGAGGCAATCAACCAACCAAAACAGAAGGAATATATGGCATTTATGTAATACTAGCTGCTAGGTGCTGCCACCTGCATTGTTTCTAAGACAAGAATAATAATTGTCTGGTCACTTTTTCAGTCTCAATTATCATATCCATCACTGTCAACCTGCAAAGTTTGCAAGCATTATATCTAGAATATACTCTCACATTTATTGACCATGTTTTACTATTATTATATAAGTACATCTAGTATGTATACTATTACTTATGTAAATATACATTCCAAAGTATTAATTTATAGTTTTGTATATTGTATTAGTCAGTCATAGTAGTACGATAGCTACATATAAATGGGAATGAATAAAAACAAACTTATTTACAAAGAAAGTTTGTTTTTATGCACCCCTAATATAAAGCTAGATAAGCAGTAAATGTATTGACATTATGTAATAAGAACAGTAAAGCAGTGTCTCCAGAAGCACATATCTTTTATGTAACATTCACGTTAATTACTAACTGAAAACTAACAAATAAATTGCTAACCAGTGGCTGCAAGCTTCTATGCACATCCTTGGTTTTCCTTTGTACCACAGGTTTGTTAATCGTGAACGCTTTGGCAGTGATAGCTGCTTGCCTGCCCCCATAAGAGCACAACCTTTCCTTCAGGCTGTCTTGAAGGTTGGGAAGCTGAGAAGCACTCATGTCTACATCCAGTTTACACAGAGAGCTCTAATGAAACTGTCTGCTCTGATGAAAATTACAACTCATGCTGTGCTGAAGTTGAAGTGTGATCTGCAAAATATAATATAATCAATATCAAAGTTACAACAATCGATTAGTTATATTATTAAATAATCAAATTTCTAGGAACAAAATATTATATAGAGCATATATGGCACCCATCAGCCATATCTATCATAATTAATTCCACGCTGAGCTGCCATCACTTGAGCTGATAGGATCTATGTCTCCCTGAGTATACTGCCGCAACGTACCCTGGGTACGGTCCGGTATACTGCAACGATCTGATATGCCAGACCGTACATCGCTTACTCCCCACCGTACCCTGACTGTCCCTGTTCCGTCCAATACTCATGTCGGAACCCTAACCCTAACCCTGACTGTACCTGTTCCGTCCACTACTGATGTTGCAACATTACGGTGGGGAGTAAGCGAGGTACGGTCCGGCATATCAGATAGTTACCAGGGTACGTTCCAGCAGTACCCAGGAAGACATAAATCCTATCAGCATCACTTGGTAGTGCTGCACTATAGCCTAGTAAAGGTATTTCTGGCCATGCTGTCTGCCCAGTTGTCAACGCCTTAATTCTCTCATACAACTGTACGTGTGACGGTGCACAGACCCTGGTTCGATCTGCACACAGGCACTTGAAGCGTTTCAATAAACTTCAATAACGCTTCAAGTGCCTGTGGATCTGCACTCAGTGACTCATGTAGCTAAACTGTAAATATATTATCTTAGACATCACATTTCTACCTTCGATTGCACGCTATACTGTGACGATAATTCTGCATATAAAGTTGCGTTTAGGATTAAGAAATATATTTAGCAAAACATAAAAGAGGATCATGCCGCGAGGGTTGAGCCCGATGTATTCAGAAAATGTAAACAAAACAAATAAAGTTGAAGTAGACCCTACAACTAAAGTTACAACAAGTTGAACAACAAGTTCGACTCAGTCATTCGAATACGACCAATGTAGGTAACTATTAACAATAACATTCACTAAAATGAGCGTTATAGTATTAGTTAAAAGACTAGTTAGGTGAGAACTTATTATCAACACCCATAGCTATAAGTTATAACTAACAGATTTATCCGAGGATAATTACGACTGTGAAAGCTCACGGGCAGCCATGTTCGAACATAGAGTCGCGATAGCAACTAGATCACGTGGTTTACTATGCTCAGAGGCGTGTTCAGAAGGCGAGCGCTCGCCTTCTGAACGACACTGCGCGAGCGAGCAGCATTTGACTGTCCGTTTGTAGCGATGGTTGGCAGTATTATATTGGAATGTATAATGATAAAATTAGAAATTAGAAACGCGGTAGAAATAGAGGCTATTCTACCTAATCAGAAGCCTTAATTGTTACACACACGCAGTTAATATTATTTGCATCGCTATATTTTGATCACTTATAATATTACTTATTACCCCAAAGGCGCCTGACCGCTGTGCGTGTTACGTATTACAAAGAGTGAATAATAACTGATTATTATTCACTTCTGATATTACTATATCGTATATAATAGGCAGGGGCACGCCCGCGACAGATGTGCATGGTAAAATCTGCTCTAAACATTTCACTTCGGCCGCAGCATCCCGCCACATAACATGAGCAATCATGCACGCTTGCGTCACTGTTCGCCGTTGCCAGCTAAGATACCCCTTTTCTCGGCTGATCTTACGCGCTCAAAATGGGCAGGGGTATGCCCAGGAGTGATGTGCATGGAAAAATCCGATCTATAAATATCACTTTGGCCGCAGCATCTCGTCACAACCCTTCCCCTATGCTAATGTAGGCACTGGCGTAGCTAAGGGGGGGCACAAGGGGGCCATGCCCCCCCCCTGTTGATTGGCAAACAAAACAAAACAAAAATTTTTC